TTCTTTAACAGTTTTTATTTTATTTGATGATTATAACTGAATTGAAATGATATTAGAGGTTAGAACATGATAATCTTTATTATAAAAGTATCTAAGATGGTCTCATAAAGTTTCAAATCATTAAGTCATTTTGTATCCTAACAACCAGCATAAAAATCATTATGAATCTCCTTAAGCTTTTAGGTATCCCGAAAAGCTCAAATTAAAAAAAAAAAATTACATGCGAGCACTGCGTTTCAAATCCACACACTCGCGGTACCAACTTCTTATCACCAACTTACACCATTGAGTCATTTCATCACTCATCAATAACATTTAATCTTACAAAATGATATACATTTTTGTTTTTCCTATTAACACGCACGGAGCCGACAAACTTGCTGACGTGGACACACTAGGAAATTTTAAAAGTGTACTATTATTATATAGATTAGCAATAGATTCATACACGCTTTTTTGGGCTGTGTATACATTTTTAATTTGATTGTGGTGTCAATATATTATAATGATGAAATGATTTTTTAACAACCAAAAGCAAAAAATATGTATGTATCAAACTTTTCCACATGTTTAACTTATTTTATTACTTTAATTTTGTTTCCTCTCTAATTACAACACCAATTGTTATGACCAAATTATAGACTTTCATTGACCAATTGTTACTTCCCATTGATCAAATTATATCAACCTCTCTTCTTTCTAGACTTTCAAACATACTTTTTTTTTGAACATTTCTTTCAAACATACTTTTCTACGACTATTTTTTTTACGTACGTACTCGATTTCTTCTTTTCTTCTTTTCTTCTTCCTTCGGTTTATTTATTTTTTAATACGAGGAAGAAGAAGAAGAATAAGAAGAACATAACACTTTTGTCCCTTTCCCTTTCCCATCTACAAATTTTCTCTGGTTTTCCCGACAAAGACTTGCGAGAAGGAAAGAGAGAGAGAAAGTCTGATTACTCTATCCCCAGCTTTTAATTTTGTTGTCTCTCTCGCCTTCACTTTCCAGGAAAATCCCTTTCTCGCTTTAGTTAAATAGATCTCTGTTCATACTTCTTATTCCATAATTCATTTTTGTGTTTAACTTCTCAGATCAAAAGTAATTAATTGTTTTGTTTATTCCCCCAAAATTCATTTTGTTTTCCTAAAAAAAAGGCTTAAATCTTTCTGCTCTGTTTCTCTCTCTCTCCTGAAGACAATGAATTGTATGTTCTTGTTCAAATCAAAGAAACGGAAACCCAGAGATCAACACAAAGACAAAAGAAAAGGAAAAGAGATAACACAAAACTCAGCTCCAGAATTAAGGAACCAGAGCGAAACGCTGTCGTTTAACCTCCAGACGCCGAGATCTTTGCCTTCTCCCCGAAGCATCAGAGACTTGTATACAGAGAGGGAAAATAATCTTAGGGTTTTTACTTACGAAGAACTCAGTGAAGCCACTTGTGGGTTCAGCAGAAAGCTCAAGATCGGTGAAGGTGGGTTCGGTAGTGTTTATAAAGGAAAGATTCCGACAACTGGAGATTCTGATTCGCCTCCACTTGTCGTAGCCATCAAGAAACTCAATCAACAAGGGTTACAGGTAACTTGAACAAATAAATATATATATACTTACTTTTTTTTTTTTTCTTTATATATATATACTTACTTTGTCTCTGTATTTCTGCTAATATGATAAATAAATTATGATTAAAACGTTTAATTTTATGTAATTAGGGTCACAAGCAATGGCTAGCAGAGGTTCAGTTTCTAGGAGTAGTGAATCATGAGAACGTTGTGAAGCTCTTAGGTTATTGCTCAGAAGATGGCGAGAGGGGGATCGAGAGGCTTTTGGTTTATGAGTTCATGTCGAATCGTAGCTTAGAGGATCATCTCTTCACCCGTGGCTCACATACATTACCATGGAAACAAAGGCTTGAGATCATGCTTGGTGCAGCTGAAGGATTGGCTTATTTACATGAACTTCAGGTAAAATCTTTTAAAAGAAAATTAACAGTGTCAACCTGGTTTAAGATAAATTACTTAAATTGTTTTTAATTATTTAGGATATAAACCATCTAAACACATTGATTGTATCTAAATGTCTTAGTAGACCATGATTACACATTTTGTGAACCGTATTTCCATTGGGAGAAAATGTGTGTGGATTCTGAAATGGTCACTCTCTAGATTCTAATTTTGATATGTGTTTCAATGGATGATAGTGTGTGGTATATTTGATTGGGCAGGTGATATACAGAGACTTCAAATCCTCTAACGTGCTCTTAAACGACGAGTTTTGTCCAAAATTATCTGACTTTGGGCTGGCAAGAGAAGGGCCTCAGGGCGACAACACTCACGTCACAACTGCAGTAAGTATGAAAACTTCTTATCTTCTTGGGTTAATGGTGTATTGGTGTGCATATGGTCAGGTTTGGTTATGGTTTACATAGCTGTAGGTAAAGAAACAATATTAACGTTTCTTCTTCTTGATCTTTTTCATTATAGAGAGTTGGTTTGATTCTATTCGTTTTGGTTATGGTTTACATAGCTTTAGCACGATGAATCATTTACAAAGTTTTGATATATCTTCTTCATGACCTTTTTTCATTATAGAGAGTTGGAACACATGGTTATGCAGCTCCTGAGTACGTGCAAACAGGCCATCTTCGAATAAAAAGCGATGTCTATAGCTTCGGTGTTGTGCTCTACGAGATCATAACCGGACGTCGAACTATTGAGAGGAGCAAGCCAGCTGCTGAACAAAGACTATTGGAGTGGATCAAAGAGTATCCAGCAGATAGTCAACGCTTCAACATGATCGTTGACTCTCGGCTACGCAACAATTATCCAGCTGCTGGAGCAAGGAGTTTGGCTAAACTGGCTGATCTTTGTCTGAAAAAGAACGATCAAGAGCGGCCTACGATGGAGATTGTAGTGGAAAGATTGAAGAAGATTATCGAAGAATCAGATAGTGAAGATTATTCAATGGCTAAGACGAAGGAAAGTAGTCAGGTCAGAAGCAAGAGTCGAGTGGCTGGACCTGTGAAAGGGAGTTCGAGAGGAGGAGTTAGTGTCAGAGGATGATTTTTGGTGTTTTAGAATATTAATTTTTGTAGGTTTTAGTATATAAATATAATAATCGCATAAAAATGACTGGATTTCAAACAAAAAAAAATGCATCAAATAACGAAACAAACTATAACGATCTGAATTAAAATTCTGAGAGAAATTGAATATTTATAGGACAAATACTAATGATTCCTTGCAAGTTATACGTTCAATCTAACTTCTATTTCCACGAAGAGATGGTATAAGATAGAGTTGTTACACTTTCAAATATATGTACGGTAAAGATATGTAAATGCAATGAAGTAAGTTTTGAACTCATTATGAGTACTTATGAAGTTACTTGGTAAATGCTCTTGTGCCTACCGAGATAATATCAAGTTTTCATCTTCTAATCTGCTTTATGTACTCTAGGATTTAATGCGCTCTACTTTTGGTGTTTCCAAGTAGGCCTGGGCGTTCGGTGTCCCGTTCGGTATCGGTCCGGGTTATTCGGATTTTCGGATTTTCGGTGTTAAGCTCAGAAGTCTCATTCGGGTTTTACTAATTATGAGATTGGATTCGGTTTGATTCGGTTCGGTTCCTTCCGGATTCGGTTTGGATCGGATGTAACCAATGTTTAAAATCGTCCAAAAATATATTTTTTAAACCTCAAAAATTGACAAATTTATTTTTCAAACATATATAAGTTATTTACAAATCTAATTAAAAATTAGTTAAACTATCTAAATCAACTAAAAACTGTCCAAAATAACATATAAAATAAACTACAAAATATTTTGAATACTCTAAAATATCTAAATCACCTTAACATATATAAAAATATTAACATATTTAGCTAATTTCGGATATCTTCGGATCCTAGTTCGGATTTCGGTTCGGTTCGGGTTATAACCAAACTCCAAAGTACTAAGCTCATAAGTCCCGTTCGGATATTTATGTATAAGGGTTCGGATCCGATTTCAGTTTTTCCGGTTCGGATTTAGGTAGATATTTCGGGTTCGGGTAAAAACGCCCAGGCCTATTTCCAAGTGATGAAGAAGTCGTGATACTTCTATTTGGATTTGGTTACAATGATACTTCTATTTGGATTTGGTTACAATGTATCGGGTTCGGAAACCGTAACTAATATCTAATTCTTTAGAGATATTCCGACTCCAAAGATTTAGAGTCTTTTCTGAGAACAAATCGAATCGTTAGTAGTCAAATGGTAAAAAACACAGTTTCACCTTGTCTACCTAAATCGGTTTTCAAGTGGTTCTTTATGTTCTTTAAAGCAATATATTGAGCTTGATCTTGAATTTCTGCCTCAATAATCTTTATAATGTTCTTTATGTTCTTTAAAGCAATAAATTGAGTTTCACCTCTGAATATTTATGTTCTAAAAAACAGAGTTTCACCTTGTCTACTCTTGTCACTGCTCTTTGTCTCAAAATTCTTCATTTGATTTAGGTGCCAGTTTAGATTGATTTGTATTGTACTTAAAGCTTTGATTGTTATGTTGTTGTTTTCTGTTTTTGGAATTTGTCCTTTTTCGCAGGTTTTGGCTCTGATTTATATCTACTGGCTTTGGTTTCAGGAGGTTCATAAACTAACCAGTTTTACTTTACTTCATGTGTAATTTTGGGCTCAATGTTGAATGTAATCATGTTGTGAACATAAGAATTCTGTCATCCGGACTTATGTCAAACTTGACTTTCTTATTAATTCTGGGAAAAATTAGTACCACCATTTCCGTGAAGAAAAAGAAAAGAAAGTGTACTACCAAAAGCATTTTGAGATACAACTGCACTACCACAATTGTATTTTCCTATATTAGCAAGTCACCAAACTTGCCGCAGCAAGAATCAAATGCTTCTATTTTGCCAAATGAACTTAATATAAATAAATTCTCATAATTTTCTCGTATAGTATATAGTTTGATGGTTGAATATGTAAAATTTTATATATATATTTTCTCTTCGTAAAAAAAACAAAGAAAAATTTACTGAAGCATGCCATGGACATTAACTCACACAGGCATTTACAATTTCTCTCTTCTCATATGAACTCCCAAAACTTTCAAGTTAAAACAAAAACCACAAACAAAAAAAAAACAAGCTGAAGTTAAAGGATCTTTAGCTTTCTCTTTTTCCTGCAAACTTCAAGCTGAAGCAAAATGATCTTTAAGGAAAAAGATCTAAAGAGAGAATCCCAAAACCAGCTTCAAAGAGAAAATCTCACTTTTCCCTTTTTTTGAACTTAATTATTATTATTAAAATTCTCAAAACTCATAAATCAGATTCAGAGTTTCAAGCAGCTGCAACAGTGCCTCCGTTGTGAAAAGCATAATCACGACGAGATCTAGTAGGAGAAGAAGAGGAGCTTCGTTGTTCTTTCCTCCTCATTGCTGATTTCACAGAATAAGACAGATTCTTTTTCTTCTCTTCTGCTTCATCTCTCTCTATCTGTTCTTGTCTACACTCTTCACTGCAAAACGGTGTGTCTCCTCTGCAATTACACCAAAAAAGTTTAAATCAGACAATCATTTAATTTAGCTAACTAAAGAAATGGGTATTCTAAAAATCAATTCTTTTATTCTGGGTTTTAATTATTTCGATGAAAAATATAAGAAATTGAAATGAGATCTGATGTATAGATCTTAAGGTTTTACCTGTACATATAGATGTCTCTGTTATCACCAAGTGGTTTCTTGCAGAGGAAACATGAATCCAAGAAATGAGGCTGTTGGTTATCGAATCTGAAATCATGGAATCTTCCGGACACAACAGATCTAGGAGATGAAACAGAGTATTGATTGTAATAATAACTCTGAGGGTAGTTATTGTAGCCATGGTTCGTGTTCTTGCTGAAACTATTCATCCTCGTGTAAGCGAAAGGACTCGGAAGCACGCCGTGTTGTGAATTTCTACTATTACCAGAAAACCCAGCTTCCATCTCTGATAAAGAGGAAGCTAGATCATCGTCTTCTTCAATGAAATAAGGCTTTCTCGCTGAAACCTCCATTACAGAAAAAAAGAGAGAGAAAGATTTTGTTTTGTTGGTGGAGTGTTTGGGAGGAAAGTGTGAGAGGGTTTTATAGCAAAGGATATTTTAAAAGAGGTTTAAGAGAGAGAGAGTAATAAACAAGGGGCGAATTTTGAGAGAGAGGATCTGTATCGGCTTTTTCTTTGATTTTTTTTTTAAAGTACAGGAAATCGAAAACTACTTTTGTTATTTCCTAGAAATACTTTATTGCCACATAAGGGAATATTTATTTTTGAGGCGTTAGAAAATAATTTTTTCGTGACTTATTCGCCCCGCAGTTTCAGAAGAACTTTCGAGAGAGCTTTGTAAATAAAAGACATTTTTCTACATTTGCTTTTTATATCAAGTTATATTACTCTTTAAGTTTTGTTTTTCACTCGGACAACATTATTAAAGTGATTTGTTTTTCACTTTAACTTTTCAGGGAAGTTATACACAAATAGATTTTTTTGATTTACTGGGTAATTTTTTTTAGATTTACCGGGTAATTTACACTATATCTTTTTTTTTAATTTACACTTTATCTAAACTATATATAGCATAATTAAGTGAATAAAATCGAAATTAATTGTCTGCAGAATATAAAATTAGATGCTTTTCCCGCATTTGAGGACCTAAATTAATTAAAAGATTATAATGATAAAGTATTAATTATGTTTTATCTTTTGAAATCAATAATATTTATAATTTTATTTAAAATTCTTATATATTTCTTTGTAATTTATATGTTCACTATTAAAAATAATTTTAATTCAAATAATATTTTTTCAATTATATAAAATTAAGAAGTTGACTTGATTAATATTTACTTATATATTTTCTATTGTTTTAATTGTTAACTTTTTATCAGAATATATTTTTAGATAACAACACAATATATATCGGAATTATCTTATTCAAAAGATATTACTTAGAGTTTGGATAATTTTTATGATTATTATTAATTTAGTTATTTATCCAATCAAAATAATTTAAATTCCTTTTATTTTGTATGTAATTTAAATAATTTTTTCATTAAGGGTATAAATAATATTAATCACTCTAACTTTTAACGTGGAAGCTCCGTTGCGAAAAATCACTTCGCAAATAATATTATAGATATCTTTGTATTCACATTAAGCTGTATGGATATAAAACACATAGAACTTGATAACTTGATAAGATATACTTTTAAAATCATATCTAGTTCACCTCTATAATAAAATAGAAAAAGATAAAGATAAGATTTTTGCTCCAAGGTGTTTTCTATAATATATTAAAATAAATTTTTTATTTTTATTTTAGAAATTTTTATTATAATAGTGTTTTGAAGATGGTCTACATTTTAAATTTTAGAGGTATGTATTTAATATTGGTCACAATGTGAAGATTATAGTGAAACAACTTAGATTTTTTTACTGTAAATATCTAAATTACATATAAAAAAAACCAAAAAAAAATGTTTGAACTAGTGATCATCATCACATCGGTCCAAGAGTAAAAAGGTTTGAGATGGGGTAAAAAGTTTAAAGGTGACAAAACAAGAGGAAGGAACAAAATAGCGGCAATATTGTAACATAAGAAATATTAAGGGGTGTAAAAATAAATATACCAAATTCCATCACGGTTCTGTAAAACATGGGTCCACTAGCACTTGGTAGGCGTTAAGGAAATTCATGGCTATTCGTGGGAGAGGAGGTGGAGCCTACTCGCGTGGGATTTCTCTTTTATTTTCTAAAAGGCTTTACGGTATGGTAATGACGACACCGCTCTTTACTTGTGTGTTTTTCTTCTTCTTTGTCGACAAAAGTAGTAACTAATTTTTTATTTAAATTTTGTGGTTTATAAAATTGATGACGAAACAAATAAATAAAATTGTCGTTTTGTGTCCTTTATGAATTTCCGTGGTGGGTGACGTTTCTGGCGAAGACTTTGAGGAGCTTGGTGAGCTACAAATAGTAGTGGTGCGCTAAGGTCGGTGTTTTCTAATGTGGTATTGGTATGGGTGTGACTAGCTGTGATTTGATATATTAAAGTACTAAAGTAAAATAAACAATGGTTTGGACCAAAAAATACTGTGGAAGAATACTCTGCGTGTGGACATTATAGCATAGTGGAATAGGTCGAGAATGACAATGAATATCAACATAAATGTCTCTAAGATCTGGTATAGAATGGCATGTTATATATGTATAGTGCCACTATTAGTGGTGTTAGTTATATCGGAAATACAACATTTTCTTTTGAATTATAGTTTAACTAGGTGATTTTCCCGTGCTCATGCACGGGTATGGATATTCATAAAAGTAAAAATTTATAATAATTGATTGATATTTAGTTTTAGTTTTAGTTTCAAATCAGTTTATATGTATAATTTATATTAATAATATTATATTATTCTAATTATACATATGACTTTGGATATATTATAATAGGTTTAATTATCTTTCGGATCAATAGTCAGTTTATTTATCAATTTGGTATATTGGATAATATTTATTTTTCGCATTCAGCTATAATAGTTTCTATTCTAAATATAATAAAATTTGGATTTATTTTCTTATTTTTATTTTGGTTGATTATTGTCTTTAGATATGTAAATATATTATAGTTAAATTATGTATAATTTAGTATATATTGTGCTTAAAATGAAATAAATAATAAGCTGAAGTGTTTGATTCAAAATTACATAAATGAATATAATGATAATATTTTGAAGTCTCATGCATATACATAAATTCTAAAAAGAATTAAATTGTAATTGGTAATATTTTCTTTTTCTTTTTAATATGCTTTGAGTCACCCTCTAATGTATATGTATAAAATTAAGTAGATTATTACTATAAAATTATAAGATGTTTAATTTTAGATATAAATTAGATAAGTCGAGTCATTCATTTTATGAGTATATTGAGTTAAATATATTTTTAAATTAAAATTGAAGTATAATTACTTTTTATTTTAGTTAAGTCAGATCAAATTAGTTTTATTTATCGCTTAAATATACATGTATTTTCATAATATTTATTTACTCTTTATTTTAGTTAAGTTAAATCAAATTAGTTTTATTTGTCGCTTAAATATACATGTATTTTCATAATATTTATCAAATTATAAGTTGATTTCTAAAAAATATTAGAAAATAAAGTGTAACTGATAAATTTTTGGATGTTCATGAACATATATATTTTATTATTTTGAAAAGATATTTTATGTTATTTAAAAATATATATTAATGGAGATATTACTATTTTGTGAACTTTCCTTTTTAATAAAGTCATATTATATACATATATTTTCGTTTTTAAATTTATTTTAAATTTTTGGAAATATTTCTTTTTATTATATATGTTATTTGGAAAAAAGATAAAAACTAAATAAAAATAATAATCTTAAAATCTAACAATTCATTAAGGGTATATATGTAATCAACCATCGCGAGAGTTAACGTGAGCGTGACACGTAGGAAACTGACTTCTCAAATAATAGTATAGAGATTGTAGTTAAGTCAAATCAAATTATATTTTCATAATATTTATAAAATTATATGTTGATTTCGAAAAAATCTTAGAAAATAAAGTGTAACTGATAATTTTTGGATGTTCGTGAACATATATATTTTTATTATTTTGAAAATATATTTTATGTTTTTTTTTGTCAAACATATTTTATGTTATTATGCTTAAAATTATATGTATATAATATGATTTTATTAAAAAGGAAAGTTCACAAAATAGTAATATCCCCATTAATATATATTTTAAATATTTTATGTTATTTTAAAATATATATTAATTTGGGTATTACTATTTTGTGAACTTTCCTTTTTAATAAATTCATATTATATACATATAATTTCGTTTTTAAATTTGTTTTAAAATTTAAGAAATATTTCTTTTTTTATTATATATGTTATTTGGAAAATATATATTAATTGGGGTATTACTATTTTGTGAACTTTCCTTTTTAATAAAGTCATATTATATACATATAATTTCGTTTTTAAATTTATTTTGAAATTTAAGAAATATTTCTTTTTTATTATTTATGTTATTTGGAAAAAGATAAAAAATAAATTACATAAAAAAATTAATAATAATCTTAAAATCTAACAATTCATTAAGGGTATCTATGTAATCAACCATCGCGAGAGTTAACGTGAGCGCGACACGTAAGAAACTGACTTCTTAAATTAATAAATTTTTGGAAATATTTCTTTTTATTATATATGTTATTTGGAAAAAGATAAAAACTAAATAAAAATAATAATCTTAAAATCTAACAATTCATTAAGGGTATATATGTAATCAATCATCGCGAAAATTAACGTGAGCGTGACACGTAGGAAACTGACTTCTCAAATAATAGTATAGAGATAGAGATATATAGAATGATTTTTAAAAAATATATCACATCTATAACGGATGTTTCGAGAATGACTTTCGCGAGTTACTTTTTTTTTCTACTCGTGGGGGTTACTCTTAACTAGGTTTATGTGACAACTATTCAAAAGTTTGAACGATAATGTTTGTTCTAAAAAAACGAACTTGCAAATCTGAAAGGTGCAGTGTATAAACTATAATGTTCGTTCCAGATTCTTTTCTGATAAAAAATGCAATAATGTTTGGTTTCTTTTTGAAGCACTAAGATTTGTCACAATTGAATTCCCTAATATATAGCTAAGAAAGGAAAATACCCTGATATAAATTCTAAACCAGTTATATATTGTGGAATTTATCATTGTATTCGTAAATGGCGATATCATCATGGTTTGTAAATTTAAGTTCTATAGATTAATTGGTAAACACAAACATTCAACAGAAACAAAAGGCAAAATCAAAATTCATTATTTCCGTAGTTTGCATGTTACCATAAATTCACCTTTCTTAACAAGGTAATAATAAGGATGTTTGGTACGTTACTTACAAATACTTTAAATGATCTTGAATTTCACACTATCGTTAACATCCCGTGTCACCAACATCGTCCCAACTCCCAATTGTTATCACACCGCAAAATATCATTTATTTGTCTTAGCAAAAAGAAAA